GGGGCTGGGGAAGGGCTGGCGCTCGCTCTAGGCCTCCTGGAGCTGTGCCAGAAGCAGACACACCGCGTGAGGCATTCCGGTGACACCGTCCAGGCCCTGGTGGCAGCTTGGCATTCGTGAGGCTGAGGGCTGAACCAGAGGCAAGCCACACCGATGGCGGGCAGGACATCAGTGAGGGACGGCCGCCTCCAGAAACTGCCAGTGGAGAGCTCCCAGCTCTGTCCCAAGCACCAGCAAGCAGTCTGCAGGATGCACCAGAGCGGCCCAGACTCCAGGGGCCGCTGATGACAACCGAGTGCAGGGTGAGGGGGCCGGCAGGGAGGCACGCAGAAGCCCCTTGGTCCCGAGCCTTGGCTCCTCCACTCTCCGCTGTGGCCTCCTCCCTCTGTGCTTTTGGGCGCTGGGAGGCGGCAGCCACTCCGCCCCTGTCCAGGCGCCAGCCTCTGGCTGAGGGGCAGCACTGGGCTCCAAGGAAAAGCTGGACCTGAGCTAGCAAGAGGGCAGGTTTGGGGACGACGATGACAGTGACTGGCGTGGGCACTGCCAGGACAAAGACCCAGAGTCTCAGCCACTGAGACAGCGGAGTGGGTGTATTCCTAGGGGCAGCACTAGAGCTGTGAGCCACCGACACTGCCACACGCAGCTGGTGGCCACCAGGCGGCCTCTGTGGGCACATGTTCCCGCGAGGAGGGCCTGTGGCCTGTGGGAACAGCCAGCTCAGCAGGGCGGGACCCCTCCAAGAGACTCAGGGAGGGTTTTAGAGGGGAGGGGCCGGCCGCCAGGACTTACGGCCTGGCCACCAAGTCACACGGCCCGCGTCTCGGCTTCGATCTTTTGTTCCCCATGCAAGGTCTCGGGGTCCTGCAGCTGGACCACGCTCTGCCGGATGGCAATCTCAGGGCCACCCCCATACAGGTGGTGCAGGTATGTCCAGGTCTCCTCAGAAATCTGCCCATAGTCAGCCCCTGCAGGACAAAGGGGCACACCTGGGCAGGGGCCGGGGCTCAAGCCCAAGGCCTGAGGGAAACCATCGTTGCTGGTGACATACAACCTCAGTGTTTCCCAAAGCCATCAAGCGGAAATCACAGGATTGTCCACAGGACACTGTTTTACCAAAGGCCCCAGAGGACACACCTCTGCCTGCAGCCCCTTGTGTCCCAGGGTGGGGTTGATAGAAAGAACAGGGTGGGACAAGCCAGCAGGAGGCAGAAGAGGCAGGGTGGGGGAGGGCCTGGGGGACCCACACCCTCCCCGTGTCTCCACTTGGGTGGGAGAACAGCCCAACTCTGAGACAGGTGGCAAGGGAGCTCCTGGGGGGACCCCAACTAGGAAACCACGTGGCAGTCAGGAGGGACAGGGGCCCAGCTGGGCCTGGAGCCAGGAGACTCACCCTGCTTTAACTGGACGTGGCCACTGCCCTTGACCTGTGCGATCCTGCTATTGTCAATGGGCCCAGGAGGCTCTGGAGGAGAGAGGGTGTGGACTCAGTGCTGGGAGTGGGGGTGGCCCTGCGGATGACGCAGCCTTCTCCAGTGAGGCTCTGACACCTGTGTCCTACAGAGGCCGCCCCGAGCCTGAGCCTCTAGACAGCTCGGAATCTGTATTTCCCCCCCGTTCTTGGGATTTGGGTTTTTCCGGCGGGTTCCCCCGGGGTTTTCCTTAGTTTGCCCCTTAGTTTGGTTGTTTTGGTTTTTTTGTTCTTCGGCGGCTTAATTGTTGGATCACAGGCATGCGCCACCACGCCAGCCACCTTAGAGCACTTAACAGGGGAGGTGCTGGGGTAGAAAAGGATCCTCGATTGCAGTGTGAGCCAAGGGCCCCCAACATCCTGGGACCTGGCAGAGGGCACTTCAAGGAAACACACAATCCTTTCAGACCCCAGCACATTGGCAACAGTCAGCGGCGGGTGGGCAATGACCTAATCTCTGGTGGCAGCTGGCACCGAGTCCCCTTCCCTGTGTCCCATCACTGCATTTAACCTTCAGCAATCATGAGACGAGACTTCACTCAGACAGAAGCTGAGGCCTGGTCAGCACCTTGCAGGGTGGAAGCTGGCAGGCGGCAGGGTCTGTGTCCAGGCCAGGGCTGGGCCTCCTCGTCCTTGTTCTAACTACAGCCACACCTGACTCTTTGGGCCAAATAGCAATCAGCTGCTATTTAGAAGCCGCTGGTGTCCCTGGCACCCTCTCCCCACCAGCGGGGGGTCGGGCTGTGAGGCAGTAAGACACCGCCCTCCTGAGCCCTGGTGGGTGCTGGTGCTCCCAGGGGGCAAACGCCTAGTACAAGGATCCACTGACTCTGCTGGTCTGGGGTCCAAGGGTGGGCATCCACATCCAGGCCAAGGTCTGGCCCTCCTGCTCTTTGCTAGGGACAGTGGGGAACCCCCTGTCAAGGGTCTGTTTCTACCTCTGTAGATCTGAAGGGTCAGACAACAGCAGAGCCTTTCCTGAGAGTCTGAGACAATGCATTGGCAAGGGCCAAGGGACTTCCAGGACTGGCCTTGCAGGAGGAAGGGCCACAGTCCTGGGTAGAGGAGGGGGCAGGGTGACGGGGAGGGCAGTTCACCTGTGTCCTCCACTCCCACTGGAGGGGGCAACAGAGACCCTGGGCACCAGCTTCTGCAGGTGGCCATTGCCAGGTGTGGAGGTGGCTCTACTCACCGCTGTCCTTCCCCTTGACGAAGGCCTCCCACTCCCGGAACCACTGCATGCTGATGCACAAGATGACGCCCGGAGACTCCTCAGCCTGGAAGGCCTTGTTCAACTGCAGGGCGGACGGCAAGGCTGGTCAGCTGCCCCTCCCTGGATGGTGTCCCAACGCCCCACCCCACCTCCACCCCAGTGCGTGATACCACCAGACACGGGAGGTAGGAATCTAGGACTCCTGGACAAGCTCAAGGAGCATGTCCTAGAACGTCCCCACCAGGCCACTGACTGCTGGTTACACTGGTGAATCTCAAGACCTGCTTTCTTTCCCTCTGGGGCACTAAGGACTGACCTCAGGGGCATCGGTCGCCGAGCCACGCCCCGGCCCTATTTTGTATTTTATCTAGAGACAGGTCCCACTGAGTTGCTTAGCGCCTGGCTTTTCCAAAACTGCTTCCTGGGGCTGGGACGCAGCTTAGAGGCAGAGTGCTAGCCCAGCAGGGTCGAGGCACCGGTCCAGGCAGCTCTCCCTGCCCAGCAGGTGCTTCTCTTTGCTCATATCCGTTCTGTCATATGACAGCACTTGTGTTTTGCGGTGCTGGAGACGGAATCTAGGCTTCACGTGTGCCAAGCAGGTGCTCTGTCACTGAGCCACAGCCCAGTCCCCTAACGGTATCGCTTTTCTCTTTTTGGTGCTAGGACTGAACACAGTGAGCCACGTTCCCAGTGCTCCCCAGGCCACCCACGCCCGTGGCACCTTGATGAAGGTGTCAATCTCCATCCGCCTGCGCTTGGCCAGGGCCTCGATCTCCACCTGACAGATGGAGCACACGTACAGGTGGCTCACGGCAGGGCCGCCCCCGAACCTGCACTCCAGAAGGAGAGATGCCGCCCTGAGGAGGGGGCGGTGGCAGCACAGGCAGAGGGCGCACCCTCCCTGGCTCCCCTCACACCCGCCTGGGCACCACACCCCTCGCCAGCTGTGTGCAGCATGGCGACAACGGCCTGGCCCGGCAGAGCGCAGCCTGCAGACTGGGTGGCCTGGCCCTGCTTCCTCTGGGCCGGTGCTGTGGGCCTGGAACTGCCCCACTGGACCCTGTGGCACCATCATAGGGAGGCTGCAGGACACAGGAGATGTGTCCCTGGCCCAAGGGATCCCACAGGATCAAGGGACACATCTCCCTGTGAGTTTCTGACCCCCTTACTGGCAGCTGGGCAGGGGGAAGGTGGCTTTGACCCTGGGACGGATGTGGCCAAGCTGACCCAATAGGGGGCAGGGCAGGGACAGCTGACCACACCACCACCGGCTGCAGAGGGGCCTGGGCAGGGCTGGGCTGCAGTGGGAGAGCTGCTGCTCTTGGTCCTGATGGCGGTGGCCTTGGGAGCTCCTTGGCCGGGGCTGCTGGCCCTGCTGTCAGTCCCTACACCCCTGAGACAGAGGCAGGCTTCTGTGGGGTGGAAGAACACACCTGCCTCTGTGTGGGCCAGTCTCCCGTCCCCTCTGAGGGCAGGGAGGGACTGCACCCCAGACCAGGCGTCCTTTGCACTAAGAAACACAGAACAGGGCTGCTCCACGCTGCCCCTGCAGGCCAGCTGGGCTCCGGCCGGCCGCCCCAGCGCCCTCCCCTGCCCCTCACCTGTTGTAGAGGTGCTCCCAGACATTCTGGGGCAGGATGACCACCAGGTCGTCGATGTAGTGGTACTTATTGGGTGGGATGCCTGCGGAGGGAGGCACAGGGAAGTAGGGCTGGGGCTCGGCCCGCCCACAGTGCCGGTGTCCCCTGGGTGGGCAACTCACCTCCATGGGAGCAGAGGAAGGTCTGGTTGGTGATGGGCCCTGGCTCGGCGAAGGTGTTGAACTTGTTGAGCCATTCTCGGGACACGTAGAACTGGAGCAGGCTGGGCTCCCGCATGGCCGCCAGGGACACCACCTGCTGCCGCTCCCGCACGGCCTCCTCGCTGCTCTTCCTGGGGGGGGGGCAGGGTAAGCAGCAGCCTGGGCCAGGCCTGGGCCTGGCAGGGCTGTGCAGGCACTCAAGTCCCCTCCGTGGCCCAGGGCGCCTGACCACAGGTCCAGCTCAGAGGCCCAGCGTAGGTCCCGCCCACCTGTAGAAGAGAACGTAGGCCTCGGCATGCTGCACCACCGTCTCATGCACCTCAGTGACGTACTGGTCATCAAACTCATACCACTGCCCATTGATCACGTTCTGGCAGTAGGCGATGTAGTGCCCACCTGGAGGGAGAGCAGCAGGTCACAGAGCCTGCAAGAGGCAGGCACAGCATGGGGAGGGGCCGGCCGCAGGGCTGCCACTCACTGCCTGCCGTGCCATGGTGGCAGATGACCGAGAGGAGGTCGTAGGTGGTGATCTGGGACGTGCATTCCTTCGCCAGGAAGGGACGCAGGTCGAGGCCCTCCAGGGGGAAGGAGACGTGGCTGCTGATCTTGAAGGAGTACATCACCTCGTGCCGGAAGCGCTTCAGGTGGATGCACAGGATCTGAGGGCAGAGGGCAGGCATGGACACAGAAGCTCCTGAGCAAGAAGGGAGCTGGCCCTCGTGGGACGCTGCTAGCAGCCAGGTGCCGCCATAGTGTGGAGGAGGAGCTGGCCAAGCCCCAGCCACTCGCTCACCTCGGGCAACCGGAGGACTTTACAGTACTTCACGCCGTTCCGCAGCCTGGGGAGGAGGCACGAGGGAGTGACGGTCAGCGTCTCATGGGGCACAGAGGGGCCTGTTGGGCAGTCCCCCACCCTGTCACTCTGGAAGCCAGGACGGGGCTCCCTTGGGGGTGGGCAGGGAAGCGTAGAGGCGGGAGGACTGGGAACGGGAGCTGGGGAAGCCCCAGGCCCAGGCTTACTTCTTACACCGCTCGCAGCTGTACATGTTGTCACCTGCAACACAAGAGCAGAGGGCAGGGTGGCAGCGAGCAACGGAGAGGAGGAAAGCCCTAACCCACAGTGTGGAGATGCCGCACCCCAAGGAGGCTCAGGGGAAAAGTGAATCTGCCCTGGAAACACTGAAACTCAGGACAGACATCTCTAAAACCAAAATTAGAAGCCAAAGGGCAAAATGAGAAGGAACTGCAACATGAAAGCCAGAAAGTGTCCAAATCTTCCATGCTCCCAGGGCCTCCCGCACTCACACCTGGGCTCACAGACTCAGAGTAGGTGGCAGAGCTAGGTTTCAGCTTCTGCACTGACTTATTATCAGGACACGGCCGGGAAAGCTTCAGACCTGGAGTCTGGCAGCCGGTGCCAGGATCCGCCTCCAGGCCAGGCACTGCACTGAGAGCAGCGGCAGACAACGGGGCCACATCGGGATCAAAGACCCCCGAGAACCAAAGACAGAAATGAGAAGCAAGCCCTGGACGGGAGACACCTGGCAGCACAGTCACCATCTAGAACACGTGAGGGACCCCAAAGCCAACAATAGAGCAGCCTAGTTAGGAAATGGACACAGGCCCGGAGCAGAGGACACGCCAGTGAGGACGAGCCCAGGAAGGGACGCCCCAGCTCACTGCCGTCAGCAAAGGCAGATCCAAGCCTCAGCGGCACACCACCATGCCCACAGGTTAGCTGTAATGGGAAATGCCAGGACAGCACTGGCGAGGTGCACAGAAAAGCAGGGCCCTGGGCACAGCACCAGCCCTGCAGGAACCTGAATGGTGGCCCCTCAAAAGACAGTAACGAAGACTGCCACGTGGTCTGGCAGTCCCCTCTGGGTACAGTGCAGAGGAGTTCAAAGAGATACTTGTTCACCCTTGCTCACAGAGCAATATTCACAACAGCTATACCCAGAAGCAACCCTAGCGTTCACTGAGGGGCCAATGGATAGATAAAGTGTGGAAGAGCCACTGAGAGGAATATCACTTGGCCCCGAAAAGGAAGGGCTGGAAATGTGGCTCAGGGGTAGAGCACTTGCCTGGCACACAAGGCCTGGATTCAACCCCAACACTTCCCAACACACACACACACACACACACACACAAAAAAAAAAAAAAAAAAAAAAAAAAAAAAGGAAGGAGATTCTGACGCATGCTCCATGGAGGAAACCTGGGGACACTATGCTCAGCAAACCAATCACAGAAAAGCTAGCACTATAACTGCACTTACACAAAGTACCTAGAGAAGTCAGGTTCACCAATCAGAAGGCAGAATGCTAGCCAGCAGGAGCAGGGTGGGGACAGCAAGCTGCTCAATGGACACAGAGTTTCCGTTTTGCAAGATGAAAATGTTCTGAGTCGGGGCCCATGGCAAAGCAGGAGGCCTGGGTTCCAGCCCAGCACCACACACACACACACACACACACACACACACACACACACACACACACACACACACACAAACAGATGGAAATGGATGGCTGCTCTGTAATGTGACTGCACTTAATACTATGGAGGTGGACATTCTGTAAAATAACATTAAAATTGGTTATGGTGAGCCAAGCGCAGTGGTGCATGCCTGTAATCCTAGCAGTTCAGGAGGCTGAGGCAGGAGGATCTCAAGTTCAAAGCCAGCCTCAGCAAAAGCAAGGTGCTAAGCAACTCAGTGAAACCCTGTCGCTACATAAAATATAAAATAGAGCTGGGGATGTGGCTCAGTGGTTGAGTGCCCCAGAGTTCAATCTCCAGTACCCACCCCTCAAAAAAAGGTTATGGTGGTAAATTCTACGTTTTTATATTTTTCCACAATTGAAAATTGAAAAAGAGTTTTACCAAAGATTAATAAGATTCTCAAGCAGCCAACAGAAAAATAGGTGAGGAATAGGAATGGGAAATTTCAAAGTAGCAGTCAATACATTTAATGAAAAAGGATCTAAACTCATCAATAATCAAGGAAATGAAAAATTAAAGCAGAATATCACTACTGCCTCCACACTGGTAAAAAAATATAAACAGATGAACATCACGAGCCACGAAGCGGTAGGCTAGGGTGCGTGGCCAGGCCCAGCCGAGAGGTGGCCTCAGGGACTCTCAGGTGCTCGGTGTTGGGAACAGAGCCAGGCACATGTCCCATGAGCCGGGCTGCACCCTGGCCCACAGTGTGTGTGGGGTCCACCGTGTCCCTGTGTCCCTCTCCAGCAACCTCCACCCCCACCCCCACCGGCCAGGCCACTCACCCTTCAGCTCATCAGCTGCAAAAAAGGCCGCAAGACAGTCTTCCAGAGTGACCACAGGCCCCCAAAACCAGCTTGGGGTACAGGACACCACAAATCTACAGAGACAGAAAGCGGTGAGGGCTACCAGAGCGGGGCCAGACAGGATGGGGGGGCTTTGGCATCGCCTGCTCAAGCCGGAGGCCCCACAGGCCCAGCGGGCCAGCTTAGCAAGGAGGTGCACTAATCTGGAGCGACCCCACCATGTCCTCGAGCTAGTGATGGCACCTCTCCCTGTGAAGGGGCCAGGGTCTTGGTGCCCCTCCCCTGGGCGGCCACAGAGGACCTCACTGCTGCACAGCAAGTCACTTGGTGTGTGGCAGGGTGCAGGGAG